GCAATTACAAGCTGTTTAATTAGGAAAGGGGAGCTGAAAGCTTGTTCAGATGTTAATCTCGAGGGCGCCGTGTGGGCAGGGAGCCAGCTCAGCTCTCCCGGTGCCGCGGGGTCTCTGCCCTGCCCCGGCTCTTTCAGTGCCCTCCGAGTTTTCCAACAGCTTCCGACACCGCAAACTCCTCCCTTGCCCTTATTGGGGAGCGATCCCTACGGATCACAGGCTGAACAAGGCAAATCTGAACGAGGGCACACCTAAAGCTGTGCCCGAGGCTGTGGAGCTGCACCCCGGGAGAGGGGGATTTGTCCTGGCCGGCCCCCTCATCCAGTGCCCCGTGGAAGGATTGGAGGCACAGCCAGACCAACACTCTTTGCTAATAAAATTCTTCAAGTGCCTGAAATCACCAGCCCATTACTTAATTGGGAAGGATCCTGTTTTCCATGCAAGCCACTTAAAAAAAGACCTAATTACCCTCCAGGAGATGAAACACTCCTTGTTCTTACTGACTGGAGCTCCTCTTCCCTGCCCAGAGGGAAACCCTGCCAGCCACCCTCCTCTTTGGTGGCTCAACTGCAGCTTCTAAATGTTAATAACAAGTCTTTTAGCTGCTGTTGTCAGGGGTTTGTAGGACACTCGGCCCCTTTGTGCCTAAATAACCACCTTGCCCTGTGTGTGTCTCGGGATGAGCTGGATCCCATGTTGGACCCAGTTCTGAGGATGGAAGGAATGCCCTGGGAAAGGAAGCGGAGCTGCTTTGATCCCAGCTTTTCCTGGGAGTGCCATGGGGTGCTTTTACACTCCTGAACTGTCCACACAGCCACTGAGGTCAGGTTACAGCCCTCCTGTTCCAGGTGTTCCCGGCCTCGGGGTGGGATCTCCCATTGGTTCATGTCCCAGTTCCAGGCTCACTTTTCCATGCTGGTCCCTCTGGGAGGCCCAGCAATGCTCTGCACCAGGAACTGCTCTATCAGTGGGCCCCTTTTGGGACAGGAACCCCCAGATGATCCACGTGCTGCCACCTTTCCTATCCATGCAGGGACTGGATGACCTTGGAGGTCTCTTCCAACCTTGATTCCGTGAACCAGGAGTTAAACTCCGGGTGCCTCCCCAGAAAGGTCATTAAGAGATGACAAACCATGTCCTCACTGGTGTTATTTCCCTCAGCCCAAAGCCCACGTGCCATCCCTTAGGGAACCACCTGCAAAGCAACCCCGAATCGCCCCCGGGGACCGGGAGCTGCCCTGGGCTCTGCTCCCGGGAGCTGAGCCCATCCAAGGAGCTCTCACGTGCTCCTGCTGCTCCTGGCTCCCAGCACAACCCTCATTTCCCCCCCCAGGAACTCGAGCACTAATGGAGGGCTTGGCCAGCGACCCGAGCGCCGCAAACAGCACCCAGGGCATCCATGTGGAAAAATATCCTGGTTGAAGGATAATTGATGCCTGTTTTGACCTTCGCGGCGCTCAAATTAAAGTGTACTTAAAGCTTGCAAAAGGTCTGAACCTCCTTCCTTTGAGCCTCCTGAAGTCTGCTGAGAATTTTGTCATCCAGCCCCAAATCCTGGTGCAGGGCCCCACTCTCACGGGTAAGGGTGGGAACACTTTTAGCCCAGCTTTCCCAAACCCAGGGAGAGAAGATTCTTCCCTGTGGGTCACCTGTAGCCACCAGAGCTGCCCCAGCAGGGAGTTTTCCAGCTGCAGGAAGGCTGATCCAGACCCTCCTCCCGGGAGCTGGACCAGGCTGGGCACGTCCTCACATTTCTCTGCAGTAGCCAGAGCACACAATGCAAACTTTGTACCTGCTCCTGCTTTGCTGTCACCTGTTACCTGATCTGCTGGGAAGGGACAGCAGTGGATGGCACAAACCCTGCCAGAACCACCTTAACCCTTGCAAGCCATTTCAGCTAAAGGCGGGATCAGCACCTCCTGCCCAGGACCTGGGGCATTTTGGAGCCAACATTCCTAAAACTACAGTTATTGGAACTCTGATTGGAATGACATCCCGTGCCTGGGGAGGATGGACCTTCCCTTCCCACTGCCTGCGCTTGGGGGAACGAGTGGCAATGGGAATTCCACCCCAGGCTTCCCCCTGGGAGCTCAGCCGAGGATCTCATCCCGCCTCACACGGGGGCTGAGCGTGTTTGGAGTGGGAAGTTGTGAGGCAGCCTCTGGAAGTCCACACCCACAGCCTGAGGGATGCTCCAGGACTTGGAGTGAGCCCCAGTGGCAAAAAATGTCCCAATATTGGCTCAGTATTAGGAGCAGGTAAATGTCTGTGGGGTTTCAAAGGGAGATGAACTCATGCACAACCTCCTCTGAAAACCCCTAAATCCCAAACCCTGGGTGAGTGTTGTCCACACAGGCAGGGGATGAGTCCTCTCTGCTGCCCAGAGCTGTGGCTGCCCCATCCCTGGAAGTGTCCAAGGCCAGGCTGGATGGGGGCTTAGAGCAACCTGGGCTAGTGGAAGGTGTCCCTGCCCATGGGATGAGCCTTAAGGTCCCTTCCCACCCCAAACCATTCTGGGATTCCATGATTTTAGAGAATTCTCAGCTGCTCTCAGGACCAGCTTTTCCCTCCTGCCTTCCCCTTTTCCATGCAGTGACTGTTTAACACTGAGACTGTTCCACACACGCTTGGGAATGTTTAAGAAGCACCAGGAGATTTCTGAAGTCAAGCTGTGAACAATCAGGAATTCAATAATTTAAGCAGTCCATGAAACCTTAAATGAACCCTTCTGGGCTTGTGCAGCACACCAGCTCCTGCCTGCCTTGTTCAGCACACACAGAGATGCTCCAAGGAGAAGCTGGGCTGGGAGGAGGATCTTTTCCTCAGGCCCCACTGCTGGAGGTGCTCGAGGAGCTGGGTGTGAACTGGAGGGGATGGATGGTGACCCCACTGCAGGTGGCATTTCCTGCCTCTGCCACAGCTCTCCCATGGCATTACTCCCATAATTTAAATTGCAACACAGTCATCCCACTGTGCACCCACCTTGGGTGGCCAACACGCCCCCGAGTATGAACCACACCAGGCACCTAAGATCCCAGGATCACTGAGGTTGGAAAAGCCCTCCAGGATCATCCAGTCCCCCCTGTGCCTGAACCCCACCTTGTCCCCCAGCCCAGAGCTCTGAGTGCCACGGCCAGGCCTTCCTTGGACACCTCCAGGGGTGAGGACTCCACAACTTCCCTGGGCAGTTCCAGTGCCTGACCACCCTTTCCAGGGAGAAATTCCTCCTGATGTCCCACCTGACCCTCCCTTGGCACAGCTTGAGGCCATATCCTGTGCTCCCCATTGTGGCTGCAGAGGGCTCTGAAGCCCCTCAGCCTGGCACCACATTCCCTCAGGATCTTTGTCCCCACTACCTGGGGGCAGGGAATGCCTCTTCTTCCCCAAACATGGGGAAAAGAGATGAAAACCTGCAAGTGCCCTGGGGAATCCCACACAGACCTCATTCCGTGGGCAACACAGACACGTCTCAGCCGGGTTTGAGACAGCAGATGAAAAGCTGCAAATGCACAATTAATTTCCTTGAATTCGCTCACAACCACAGATCCCACAAAGAATTAAAATTTAGTCAACCAGATGAAGTTGGCAAAGCCATGAGCTACCGAAGGCAGGAAGCTTAAAGAGAGCAGCGCTCAAACCTGCCCATCCCAAGGGATCATCCCGAGGGATCATCCCGAGGCTCTGCTGTGCTGGGAGCTCTACGGTTTTCCTAACAGGACCACCCCCATCCCAAAACCTCACTCCTCTTCCTGCCAATATTGCTAAATTATTTTTCGCCATACCGGGTCTGCAGATTCATTACTGTAATTAAAGGCATTAATTCCTAATTGCTCAACTAATTTCTGTGTTTGGAAAGGGAAGGATGTGCAGGACCTTCGCCTCGCCCACACACTGTTGACCTTAAGCCTTGATGTCTAAGGATGAAAGGAAAAAAGGAAGGAAAATGTGTTTTGGTGTCAAAGGTGGAGCTTTGTGCTTGCATCACCGACCCACAAACAGGGCAGGACAGAAAACTCACTGAACCTTCATGAGATCACAGTTTTGTCAAGAAAACACAACACTTTTTTGGGGGAAAAAAAAAAAAAGCTGAAAGCTGTCACTGGTGGAAATCGGGACTTCCACTTAAAACCTGATGAATTTGGGGAAGAAATTTCCTGCTTTTTCTTTGGCTGGATGAATAAAATGAACTCTCCTAAGCACAACGTCCTGATCAAGCTGATGAGGGAGGACATCCCTGCCCGGGTGAATTCATCTCCTGTCACGTGAGGGGTCTGTCCTGGAGCAGCCTGGACTTTTCCAGGACTCCTGTGGGACACAGGGGGGTGCAGATGGAGATTTTTGGCTCTTTTCTGGAGCGGGCAGAGGGGTGGGGACGGGGAAGTGGAGGTGACATTCCCCAAGCCCAGATGAAGCAAGGACAGAGGGAGGTGCTCGTCTCCTCTGCCCCAGCTTTGCCACTCCTCACCAGGGTGCTGCTTTCACACTCATTCAGAGGGAAACAAAACAAGGCAGAGCAGGAGACAGCAAAAAAACCTTCCCTCTGTCCCACAGGAGTCCTGGAAAAGTAGGGCTGGAGAGGGAGAAAGTGCTGAGCTCACCACAAGCCCCTCGGGAGGCTGTCAGGGGTCACAGGTTCCAGTTTTCCCGGTGTTGTCCAGACTATGCTCTCTCCTGCCCACACCCAGAGAGCTCCCTGCTGTGCCCCATGGAAGTTCCGAGTGGAACAGATTTTAGGAAGCAGGGAGGGAATTTGGGATCACACGGGTGCAGCAACAGCCCCGCAGCCAAACCTCCCCTCCTCAGCCTCACTCGTGGCACAGACCCCATCCCTGGGGAGCCCAGGCACCATTCCAGCCCCACACCTTGGACCGAGAAAGAGCTTCACTTCTCCATGGAAGGGGAGGATTTGCAGTGTCCGTTCGAGCAGGTGAGGAAGGCACAGCGCTGCTCTTCCTCCCCCTCCCCCGGCTCCGGGGGACCATCCCCCTGCCCAGCCCTACCTGCGGACGCTCCTCAGGTGTGGTTTTCCCCAAAAGGGGGGATGCGGAGCTCTCTCCCGGCGGTTTCGCTCCCCGCGGCTGGCAGCGGGAATGTCGGATCCTCCCTGGCAGCGCGGGCGGCCGTGGGCACACCTGAGCCCTTCACCTGCCGAGGGCTGGCCGTGGGCACACCTGAGCCCTGCCGAGGGCTGGCTCCGGGAAGCCAAGCCTTGTTTTGAGGAGGAGACCTGGGTGTGTTTTGCCCTTCAGGGGAATCAAACAGGTTTCTCCGTTCGGTCGGCACGGCCTCCCCTCCCTGCCAGCTCTCCTCTACATTCCTGGCATTCTCCGGCAAACGCCGTGTTCCCCAGCTCGGGGTCCGATGGGACAGCAGAGGGGAGCCCCCCAGCTCTTATCTCACCTAATTTCCACTCAGGATAACCATTTCCAGCCAAGCTTGTCCCCCAGGAAGGGGGAGCAGGGACCCCCCTGCTACTCAGGTACCCGGGAGCCGCTTCCAGCAGTGGTACCCAGGGAGCATCAGGGACGGGGGCTGTAATTAGCCCTCAGCAGTGATTGTGTAGTTCTAACTCATTAAATGAGGCACCCAGGGGTGATTATCACTGAGGAAATTGCCGGGTGTTCTGCTCTCCCTCCCTTTCTTTCCCTTTCTAATTGCTCTGGTCACCACAAGGTCCCCAGGGCCCAGCTTTGGTGGCTCCGGGCACAGCCGGACCCGTGGACACACTTGTTGCCAATTCCTAAGGACTGGAAGTTGGGGATGGAGTTTAGAGCCCTCCTGAGAAGTCAAGGCTCCAGCCTGGGAGTGCCATAGAGGAGTAAGAATCACAGGATCATGGAATGGTTTGGGTTGGAAGGACCTTAAAGCCCATCCAGTCCCACCCCCTGCCATGGGCAGGGACACCTTCCACTAGCTCAGGTTGTTCCAACCTGGCCTTGGACACTTCCGGGGATCCAAGGGCAGCCACAGCTTCTCTGGGCAACCTGTGCCAGGGCCTCCCCACCCTCACAGCCAACAATTCCTTCCCAATATCCCATCTGTCCCTGCCCTCTGGCAGTGGGAAGCCATTCCCCCTTGTCCTGTCCCTCCATCCCTTGTCCCCAGTCCCTCTCCAGCTCTCCTGGAGCCCCTTTAGACCCTGCAAGGGGCTCTCAGCTCTCCCTGGAGCCTTCTCTTCTCCAGGTGAACCCCCCCAGCTCTCCCAGCCTGGCTCCAGAGCAGAGGGGCTCCAGCCCTCGGAGCATCTCCGGGGCCTCCTCCAGACCTGCTCTAAAAGCAGGTGATGAAGCCCCAACCAAGCACCTTCCAGGACCCCTCTGCACCCACGAGGACACACTTTTCCTGCCCCATGACCCAAACACAAGTAATGCTGAGGCAGGAACAGCTGGGAAGAACAGCTCCTGCCCTCTCCTCACAGCTCTGCTGTGGGATGATGGGCAAACATCCAATCCCAAACCAGGATGTGCCATAACAGGGCCCATAATCCACCCCTGGCTCCCAGCAGCACAACCACGATGACATCAGGGATTTTCAGGCTTTAAGGTGTTACTCCAGCCCCAGATCTCCCTCTCTGATCTCAGGCTGCAGCAGCAGCAGCAGCAGCCAAGCTCAGCTGAGCTTTGTTCCAGGTGATCCCAGCTGAGATAAACAGGAGAGAAACTGGAATATTCAGCGAGCCACACCCTGAGCTCAGAGAGGGCTCAGAGGTGTCCAGCTCAGATGGTTAAAATGCAGCCCAGACCCTTCCTGGGTAAAGCATCCTCTGCTCCAGGGCTCCAGCTGACAGTGCAGCTTTATTTTGAGCAACCCCTGAGTCATGCCATCGTTTGCTGAAGGTTTGTCCATGTTCTTTCCTGAAATAATGGTGACTCATCACCTGGCCTGGCCAGCCTTGCAGGTACAAGAGGTCCTCAAGCACGAGGAGGGACACCCCAGGGTCCAAGGAGTGGGGTTTTTTTCCCAGTGTGAACACACTGTTCCACAATGAAAGGTCAAAAACTGAGGGGAAAAAAGAAAGGCACCTGTTATGAGCACCTGAATATTAAATATTGGATGAAATGGATAAGGAGAGCCCAAACCAACACACCCAGAGTGTTGTTTCACCAGATGTATCCCCGCAGCGTGGGCAGCAGGAGAAGGGGGGATTCTGCCCCTCTGCCCCCTCAAGTGAGACCCCACCTGCAGAGCTGCCTCCAGCCCTGGGAACAACATCAAAAGGACGTGGAGCTGCTGGAGAGAGTCCAGAGGAGGCCACAGGGATGCTCCAAGGGCTGGAGCCCCTCTGCTCTGGAGCCAGGCTGGGAGAGCTGGGGGGGGTCACCTGGAGAAGAGAAGCTCCAGGGAGAGCTGAGAGCCCCTTGCAGGGCCTAAAGGGGCTCCAGGAGAGCTGGAGAGGGACTGGGGACAAGGGATGGAGGGACAGCACAAGGGGGAATGGCTTCCCACTGCCAGAGGGTTAGATGGGATATTGGGAAGGAATTCCAATTCCTGTGAGGGTGGGGAGGCCCTGGCACAGGTTGGGCAGAGAAGCTGTGGCTGCCCCATCCCTGGAAGTGTCCAAGGCCAGGTTGGACAGGGCTTGGAACAACCTGGGCTAGTGGAAGGTGTCCCCTGGCAGGAGTGGGACTGGATGGGCTTTAAGGTCCTTCCACCCCAACCCACTCTGGGGTTCTGTGAGTTGTGAGCTGCAGGCCTGGGGAGGGGCAGCACCACACCATGTCCGTGGTCCCTCTGGAGCTGAGGCTTCTCCAAGGACATCACTCTGCCATGGCAACACCTACCTGGGATGGAAGGCACCGGCCTCTCACTGCAGTTAAACCTGGGACTGATCCAGCAGCTCCACTGGTCTCCCTCCCACCTGCCCTGAAGCAGTGCCACCTTCACTTCAGGGCACTTCCTCACCACTTCTTCACTTCTTCATCATGTCCCTACATCACAGCACCCTCATCACATGGCCACCAAACACCACTTCCTGAGGGAAGGGTGGAGCAGGGAAGCTCTTCCAGCCGTGCCTGTGGCTAAACAGGAGCAGAGAAGTGGATGCTCCAAGGCCAGCACGAAAATCACGGACCTCTCAGGACGTGGCCTTCCCAAAGAAGAGCTGGAAAGAGAGAAAGCACCTTAAAAGGTCTGGAAGCCTCAAGAACTGTTGTCTTCCAGGACTGGTGGGACATGGAATGGGACCTTCTGTCTTTGTCTTCCAGGACTGGTGGGACATGGAATGGGACCTTCTATCTTCCTCACATGGATTAGGGCAACAGCAGAGGGTCAGAGACATCAGATCCCATGGAATATGTAGTAAATGTGATATATGTGAGTGTATAATTACAATCAGATACACCACAGCTTTATCCTTTATTTCCCACTGAGGCAAGTGGGATAGGAACACGCAATTTTTTTTTCTCCTTTTTCGTTTTTTTCCCCTTGTGGAAAAGGCTTTTCATCCTCTTTGCCCAGTTGAAAGCAGCCATGGCCACCCCCTGCAGGCAGCTCACCTCAAACTGGGGGGTTCCAGGGACCTCCCAGACCCCTCAACCTGCACACAAAGCTCAGAAAAAGCACCTCCCTGGTGCTCAGCAGCTTCAACAGGGAGGGACAATCCATCCCAAAGGAGGCTTTTTTGTGGATTTATCCCATTTAAGCTCTTGGATGTCACTCACCCCGGCAGGCACAGAAACCCTGATGGGGGTTTTTCCTCCTCATAAGGGAGCAGATCCCGTTTTTAATAACATGGCATTTCAAAGTCCCTGCAGTGGCCAGAGGTAGGAGTTTCCTGCCAACCAGGGACATCTGGAAGAGCTGCTGGAATAGCACAGCCAGGTCACCTCAAAACAGAGGCTAAAAGGTGTCCAGGAAGGCTGCAGGGAAAAGCAATTCACTTTGGGCACTTAACTGAGAGAATCAGAGCAGGAGCATCATCCCTCCAGCTGCTCCAAGAGCCTTGGGGATAAAGACTCTGGATTTATGTTAGGGAGCCATTCAGTATGCAGAGAGTGTGAGTTAAATACTGACAAATTCATGATGCTTTGGGGCAAAGGCACCAAACTCAGTCTTGAAATTGTCCAGAGAGTTATTTCTCCGATTTTAGGTAACAACTGGCAGCCCCAGCCTCACCTGGACACAGCACAGGTGACCTGCACAGCTCTGGAGCAAACCCTGAAGCCACCAACACACAAAAAAAATCCTTTAAAAATCAGTCCTGAGCAGAATCCAAGAGGGGTAGGTAAAGCTGCCACCCAGGTGTGCCAGAGAGCCCAGCCCAGAGCAGCAGGAATGTCCTGTCCCTCTGTTTCACCACCACAACCTTCTCCAGGGACACAAACACACACCCCTGGAGCAGGGCAGGAGGGAGGAGCAGGAAAAAAGAGCCTTTCCCCCCATTTCCACTTAAACACACTATTGGCTTTAAGAGCTGTAGGTAAATTCCAGCCTGGAATATCTGATTTTACCAGGAAATGGATTCTCCTGGGATCTCCTCTACAAGAAGAGCAGAAACCCCCCTCTCTCTCTGAGATGTCCCACAGCTGGCACTGGTTGATCCTTGTTTCCCTACTGTTCACCTGCCTCCCTTGTGTCCTCCCAGAGGTGGGAATGACATCACACGAGGAAGCTGCAGCCACAGAAACTACTCCTGGGGTGGAGAGAAAGCCTGAGAGGAGAAGATTTAAAGGACTCAGAGCATTTAGGTCAGAAAAATAATGGCAAAGAAGACCCAGGAGTGACATGAGGAGCACAGAGCTGCCACTGCCAGAAACAGGGAGTTCAAACCAGCTTGTGTTGAACCCTCCAGTTCGTTCCTTTCCAGAGGTGCAGCACAAACACCTTCAGAAACAGGGATGTCCACGAGGAACTCTGGAAATCCAACAGGCAGTTCTATGGGAAGGTGATTTTACCAAGGAATGCTTGTCACCCCCATGACAGCAGTGCCTCCTGTCCCCAGCCTCCCTCCCCAGTGCAGCCTGGAGTTGAAGAGTTGCTCAAATACATGGTTTAATTTTTTGTTTTCTTTTTTAGTTGGACAAATTCCCCAGCCTCACTCCAGAGCACTGGGCTGCACTGGACCATTTCCTGCTTTTTTTTTTTTCCCTGCCCTGGAACTCCCCAGCCTTGCCCCTTGCAGGTGAGTAACCCATCAGTCCTGTGGGCCTTTGCAGAGGTGACACCAAAGCCAAGCCTCAGCAGAGGATCACCGGGGTGAGTGGAAGGGTGTCAAACCACTACACCCATTTGTTACGAGGGAATCCAACTGGTTTTTCGTGAGGTGTCATCCCAAAGCGCTGCCAGGACGCCAGACCTCACCTTCCTAATAGCAGGGAGCAGAGCAGAACCGTCTCTCCCGGATTATTCCCTGCTGGAATACAATGATCTGCCCCCTGCTCACGCAGACACGGCTGCACAGGAGGTCAGGAGCAAACCAGCACCGAGACAAAAGGGTCTGCTCAGCAAACACAGGGCACAGGAGAGGCGATCACAAGTGCCAGCTGAGCCAGGGCTGAGCCAGGGACACAACCTGTGCCATGAGGGAGCAGCGGCACCACCTCCACCGTGCCCTGTTTCAAGCAGGGAGATGCTCATTTCTTTCCCATCACCAGCTCAGCAGCTTCCTCAGGGCTCCCAGGCAAACGAGCTGCTTTCCCTCTCCCTAATAATGCCCAGGTTGCACCACCCTCACACCCGTGGGCCTGGCACCTTCCCGGGGCTTGCACAAGCACCAGCGAAACTCGGGCAGGAATTCTCTGGGAGCAGAGTCCAACCCACTCCTGCCGTGGCTCCGCAGTGCTGGGAGGTGTGGGAACACCCCAGTGCCTGCTGCTGCCTGCACGTTGGGATAACAGAGACAGGGATCTGCAGAGCCAACAGAAATCCCCTTCCACAGCTTCCCAAAAGGCCGTTTGAGCGCTGGAATGTGTCGTGGATCCCTGTGTTTCTAAGTCACCGAAGGTGCTGAGCTCCCACGGGATGAAAAGATCCTCCACCCAAACCTCCGTGCCCCCCTCCATGCCCTGCCAGGGGGGTGGAATCACTACCCATTATTTTGGAGACCAAGGAAATTTGTTGTTGTCACGGCCCTCAAAGTTTACATTCCTGTAACAGCACCAGTTTGAAACCTCCCAGGTTGCCAAGATCCCCCAGGTCTGGGGAGCAGAACAAACAGAATCACAGGGGCAACCAGCACAGAGGATGTCACTTCAGGACAAGCTTCCAATTAGGAACGTCTTGGCTCATGGAATTCTAAGTTACTCCCTCAACAAGCCAATTCAGCCCCAGCTGGAACAGATCCAACCCACTGTGTGCAATCTGCGCAGGCACAGAAAATGCATCTGCTTATCACTGTCAGGAGCCCAGTTAATCATGGAGTAATGGAATGGTTTGGGTTGGAAGGGACCTTAAAGCTCATCCAGTCCACGTGCAGGGACACCTTCCACTATCCCAGGTTGCTCCAAGCCCCATCCAACCCGGCCTTGGACACCTCCTGCATCCCCAGCTCTGGCTGGACTGGAGCTCCCCTCTGGGCTTTTTTGCTCACTGGACATCTACTTTTCCATCAATTTTTCCTCTTCCCTGTTTCTAGTATCACACCCAAGCCACCCTTTTCCTTTCTGGAAGGTGTGTGTGGACAAGAGCTTCCCCCACAGCCCAAGGAATTCCTTAGACTGTACAACCCTCCTGAGCAATGTCTCTCTGAGAGGGGTTTTTGGTTACCTTAACTCCACTTAGAAAAGCACTTCTATTCCTCCTTCCCTTTCCCTCCCTCTCATTTCTCTGGGATAAGCAAGAGATCTCTCCTTTATCTCTCCTGCTGCCAAAACCAGTCTCAGGTCAGCAAAATTAGGAGCCGCAGCAAGAAAAAGCCAGGAAAGCTGAGTGAGAGAGATAAGAAGCTCGGTGAGAGTGCTCCAGGGAACTCTTTGAAGACTTGAGGAGCTCCTCTTGGGTGTTACCACCAAGGACAGACTGTACCTGACCTTGGCCTTGGATATTTGGATGGAAAATTTGATAATGGCAATTTTGCTTCACAGCCTCCTGCTCCCTGTCACACACACAATCCAGGGTGGGAATCCCAGAATGGTTGGGGGTGAAAGGGACCTTAAAGATCATCCAGTTCCACCCCCTGCCATGGGCAGGGACACCTTCCACTATCCAGACTGCTCCAAGCCCTGTCCAACCTGGCCTTGGACACTTCCAGGGCTGGGGCAGCCACAGCTTCTCTGGGCAACCTGTGCCAGGGCCTCCCCACCCTCACAGGGAAGAATTTATCCCTAATATCCCATCTAACCCTGCCCTCTGGCAGTGTGAAGCCATTCCCCCTTGTCCTGTCACTCCAGACCCTTGTCCAAAGTCTCTCTCCATCTTTCTTGTAGCCCCTTCAGGTCCTGGAAGGCCACAATTAGGTCACCCTGAAGCTTCTCTTCTCCAGGCTGAACAATCCCAATTTTCTCAGTCTTTTCTTATAGGAGAGGCTCTCCATCCCTCTGATCATCTTGGTGGCCTCCTCTGGACTCACTCCAACAGGTCCATGCCCCTCCTGTCCTGAAGAGCTGTCCCATCAAATGGATCCCAGGCAGGAAAGAACAGGAGGATCTCCTTGGCTTGGCCAAGAAAACATAAGATGAGCTTTATGCTCATTAGGTTGAGAAAATGAGTTGAGAGGAGGAGGCTGGCCCAGGGATGGGAGATGCTATGGATAAAGCAAGGTTGTGGCCAGGGTTAGAGTCCAAGTCAGGTTCCACCAAAGCAACAATCCCTGTTTACTTGTGTTTGGGAAACAGCAGCTCCTCAGCAGCCAGAAGCAGCTCTGGCAGCCGCCCTAATTACACAGGGAGAGCAACCAACCCAAACCTGGGTGTGACACAACACTTCCCTCCCTGCCCAGCCCGGGGAACTGCTCCCCCCCATCCCAGAAAACCTCTGGGTTACCCTCCCTGGGTGAGGGGAACCCCAGTGCCCCTCCTGCTTCCATCCCGCTGACTCGAACTTCCAGTGCCTCTTGTTTCGGGATCCCCTTCTGCTTGGGACCTTCCTTACCTTGACAGGCCTCCAAAGGCACAGTCCTGGAACTGCATCCAAGGACTGAGAGAGATTTTTGGGACAGATTGGAGCTGCAAGGCAGTTCAGGCTGGGAAATGCCATCTAGAGGCCAAAGGTGCTTCTGCTGTGGTTTGACTTCAAGTGGTGCTGGTGCAGGATCCTTCCACTCCAGCACATCCCCATTCCCTCCCCACCTCCCTGTGGGAGGGCAGTGTTATCCCTGCTTCCAGGAGGACCAGCTGGCTGACCAGTGCAGACCAGAACAGTAGGAGCTGGCCCAAGCAACTGGCCAGGTCACTTCAACAGCAAGGCCAAGGTTGGTAAAACGAGCCACTAAAGCAGCACACAAAAATTCCCAGGAAGAAAAGCTCAACATAAAAACTCTCCAAAAAACAGCCAGAAGATAAAACCAATTTTATAGGATCAAGCTCACAGATGGAGGTTAAGCCTCATTGTGGTGGAAGTTGTGGCTGCTCCATCCCTGGAAGTGTCCAAGGCCAGGCTGGAAGGAGACTGGAGCAACCTCGGAGAGTGGAAGGTGTCCCTGCCCATGTGGTGGGACTGGATGGGCTTTAAGGTCCCTTCTAACCCAAAGAATTCTAGAATTCAGTGATTCTATGAGTGATTTCCCATAATCCTGAAATTTGAAACACCAAAACTCCCAGGAGTCAGGAATCAGCAGGGAGGGAAATTCCAACTCTACCCTAAACCCTTCATTTAAGAACAAACCAGAACTGGAGCACTTAGGAAGATTATAGGGTAGAGGACACTTAATACACACGTCAAACAAAATAGCTTGGGGATCATTGCATTATATTCCCTGTGGAGAAGAGGTTTTTTCATGGACTAAGTGGTCAAAGCAACAGAAATCACCATGGCCAGCAATAACAGGTCAGAGGAGATGAGCTTTGTGGGCTGTAGGATCATCCAACCACTGTAGTTCTTGTGGGAAATGAGTTATGGGAAAAGAGTCCACAGCAAAGAGCTCTCTCCCCAAAAAGGGAATCATTCAAATCCAAGTTGTGCTGAGATGGTCAGAAAGGGATCTGCCCTTTCAAAGATGGCACAGAAAACTAGGAAGTCATCTCTTTGTGATTTATTTGAGTTCTTCTTGGAACAGAAATAGGCTCCTGCAGGACCAAAGGAACAAAGAGAGGCCTTTCCTCGGGTTTCCTTCAGGAAGAAGCCAAATCACCCACTAATCACAGAGAGAAAACAAAATGAGCTGCAATGATTCCAGAGCTGGTGGCAGAACTGCTTTTTGCCATCAGCTTCTCCTGTCTAAAGCAAAGCCAAAGCCCAGAGGGGACCAGCCATGAGAAGGGTTTGGTTGCCCAGCTCTGAGAGGAGGTGGCTGATGTCACCACAGCAACAAAACATCGGGACAAGGGCGGAGAGAGGAGAGGAGAAATGCTGATGGGACTGAAGAGGGCACAGCAGGGTGTATATTCACAGTCCAGAGAGTTCAGCAGCTGGTTCAAAACAAGAAGTCACCTCAAAGAACTGTTAGAACAGCTCCTGCGTGAGGGTTTTTCAGCCCAGGTAACGGCGAGGAGGAACTCGGAGGGGGAAAACTCCCCGTTCCTGGGACTTGGTGACATTTCCTTCAGTGCCCACGGCAAGACATCACAGTAATCATGGAAAATCAAGCTGGCAGGAGTCCCTGCAGGGCTGCTCAGGCCCTGGCCCGGCGCAGGTGGGGGTAGCTCTGCAGGGTCCTGGCTATGGCCTCCTCCAGCCCCACCACAGGCCTGTACCCCATGTCCCTCTTGGCCCTCTCACAGCTGTAGTAGTGGAATGTCCCAGCCAGGGCCACCCTCATGGGGGTGAAGGTGGCCTTGATGGTCACCAGGGGCCTGAGCAGCCCCAGCAGCAGGGCCAGCAGCAGGGCCAGGTAATAGGCCAGCCAGTAGGGGATGTGGTACTTGGGAGGGTCGTAGTCCAAGCCGGTCAAGATGCGGGACATGAAGGCCCAGAAGGGAACTGGCTCATCGTTGGTGATGTGAAAGGCCTGGAAGAGAAGGAGACGAGAAGCCAGGTGAGAAAAATCATCCTGGGCTTCACAAATTTGGCTCAGTGATGGCCCATCCCGTGTTCACCCCTGAGCTGGGCAAGAGCACATCTTCCAGGACAGGCTGCTTGGCACTGACCACCTCTGGGGGAAGAGGGATGAGCCTCTTCTTTGCCAAGAAACAGCTCCAGAGGCTGAGATTCCTCATAAATGTCAAACAAACTGACTGACACAGCACAGAGCAAACACATTACAGCACAAGTGGGGCCAGGAAAAGCTGTCCAGGTTTTGAACTCTGGCCTAAAAGCCTCTGTGTTTCCATGTGTGCCCACAGCTCTGCCTTGGATCTATTTTCACAAGGGGTTTTATAGTGTGAAATCCAAGTATATTCACCCAGCTTAGCCCATGTTAGCTGGTTAAAACTTGGTGCTGATAACACCAAGGCCACAGGTGCCACCCCCTGGATGGGCTCTTCTCTTAAGAGCTGGACTCAATGATCCTTGTGGGTCCCTTCCAACTCGGAATTTTCTGGGATTCTGTGATGTGGTGGCACACAAGGGTCACCACACGGACAACCATTCGTTGTACCCATGGCCAGACCTGACTCCTCTCACCTCCAGGAGGGGTGTTCAGGACACAGAACTCAGGATTCCAGCTGGAAGTTTGGCTGGGGACACCCCCTCCCCTCCCATCCCAAGGTCCTTCCTCACCTTCCCACCCAGGGGAGAGCCCTTCTGCAGCTTTTCTGCAGCCAGGATGTGCCCATGGACCACGTTTTCCACGTAGGTGAAGTCCACCAGGTTCTTTCCATCCCTGGAAACACAAACAGAAGGAATTTTAGCCCTAAGGCAAGTTGGGCTGAAAAGCTGCTCGTGGCAAAAGGAAGGACTTTCACACATTAAATTAATATCAGAAGCAGAAAAAATGAATATTATGCCCTCTCAAAAGGGCTTTTTGTGGGTTCAGCATCAGTTTTATCACAGCAATAAAATGCCTGAGCTTTGCTCACCCAATGATGAACTTCATTTTGCCCCTCTTGGCTGCCTGGATGAGGATGGGAACCAGCTGAGGGTCTCTGGGACCGAATATTCCGTGGGGACGAATGGCAACGGTGAGGAAATTGTTGTCTGGGTCGTTTGCACTGAGCACTTCCTGCAGGGAAAGAAGAGAATTGAACCAGAGAAAGGCTGGGAGGGAAAATTCCAAGCTCCTCACTCAGTGATCTGGGCTCCCATCCCCTTGGGAAGACACCAGTGGATGAATTATTACCCCTTCTCATCTTTACAAATGATCCTTCCTTTGTTCCCAGCACTTCTCCCACTTCTCTTTAAGGAGAAAAAAACAGACAAAAACCAGTTGGACACTTTAGGCATTGCCAGGCAAAGGAAGGGAACTCTTTGCTTCTCCCATTTAACACCATAAAACCCAGAGGTTTTCCAAGTTCCTTCACTCCATGAATTCCTTGTGCTGGAGAAGAGGAGGACACTCAGCAATTCCACCTCTGTCCCTCCCATCAGCCATTCCCACCCCAAACCTCCTGGATCTCCTTCTGGAGGGGCTGATCCCACCTCCCCAGCAGCATCAAGAGCTGAGCACGTCCAGCAAAGGGGCTCTGAAGGGGACTGAACTCCCTTGGGAGCTTCCAACCAACACATCCTCATTCCCAACAGCTGCTGTGATTTCTGTGAAACCCCAGGATCAAGGCACTTTGCATTTCACCCAAAATCCAGCCAGAATTACACTGCACTTGATCGCTGCTCCCCAGCTTTCCCCTCATCAGTGCAGAGTGGTTGTGCTTGGGAATGCCCAGATGTTTTCACAATTAAAATTAATTCAGCTCTTTTTGAGAGAAACCCTTAAAGGCCTCAGGGACACGCTGGCAGCGCCAGCACGGAAGCAACTCTGAATTCTTCTTGCACAACAAGCCCAGATTCTTTCCACAGCTGAAAGGCAAGCCATGGAAAAAGGCTCACACCAGGTTTGTTCCCGTTGATTTAAAACATTGCTGCCCCATATTTAAACCCCAAATGCTGCAGCAAAAAGAACATGGAATACAACAGATATTGGGGATGTGCAAACATCCAGAGCAGTGAACTTTCAGATGTAGGGGCAGTTTTTAGGTGTTTTTGAACAATGATATTTCAATATATGGCCAGGAGCATTGGCTGACAACACTTTCTTAGGCTGGTGTGCTCCTCAGCTCAGCCCACATTCCCATCTTTTCCTTCCCCAGGGCCTTGTTCACATTCCCAACTATAAACTCAGGCTGCAAATCAGGAAAATGAGGTTCTGAAACAGCCTCCCAGAGCAGGGGAGACAAAAAACTCCCCTCAGCTGCTCTTAAACTAAAGCTTAAAAGTTAAGAAGTGGCATTTTCATGCCATGGAAGTGACACCTCTGCCAGTTCTGAGCCAACTTGGGTGGTGTAAGACACTATTTCATTCAACTTCAGGGGTAATTTATGGCACAACATGATTTTAGTGTCTTAATAATAAGTTAATACATCAAAAAATAACAATTTAACCACAAGATACGATGGCAAATACCTTCTCCTGGAGGATCTTGGTCTCTGTGTAGTAGTCAATAGGTTTTTGTGCATAAGGGAGGTCTTCTGATCCATTTTTTATGTCTGTGCCCTCAAAAACTACACTGGCACTGCTGGTTAACACCAGTTTCTGCAAAGGATGGGAGAGAAAACAGTTGTTTGAAGCCTAAGACAGGAGGGTCATCGTTTATGAGGGCTGAGTAAAGACAATAATAATAATGTTTAAGTAACTGATCCTACAGAGAATAAACTGAGTCTAGAAGAACAAGGCCAAGAGAAGATGAGCTCAAACTGCAGGTCTGGCTCTGTCACAGGGTTTTATGCCACCTAAAGGACATCAAAACACTTCAACAAACACCCCAGGCAGGGGAAAACATCCCCAGGAAAATCAGAGTGTAAAGGAACACGGTAAAACTTAACACAGATTAGTGGGTTTGGGATGGATTTGCTCATCTTCACAATAACAGGATCACGGGAGAATGAACCAAAAGAGAAATCTTGGATGTTTTTGCTGGATAAAAATGTAGCCAAGTGGATTTAAAGCTCTGAGCAATCAGAGACATGTGGTGTTGGAGAAAATGGATGTTGTCAGAAAGAGATGGTTGGATCCAACAGGTTCCACTCCCACAGAATCCAGACGCAGCCTGGAGGGAAACACCACATGGCACCAGGGGGAAAGAAAAACCCACCAACCAACCCAAAGTGTGAGAGGTAGAAGTGAATTCTGAACATGATCCCTTCTGGATTTGTCCACGGACACTGCACAAAACCCTCTGGAGCTACATCTCTGCCTGGGATAACAGGATCTTCATGTGTGCTGGGCTGGCAGATTTGCTGAGAATTGAAGTGAAAACTCCTGTGGTATCAAAAGACCACCAGGAGGAAATTCAGCTTGCGATTTGAGGCTGCCCAGCAGCAGTTTCCTGCTTTCCTCAGGCTCTTTCTTTTGAGGGCAACTGATTTTCTAAACCAAATGACACCGAGATGGTGACACAAATGTGTTTCCTCTCATTACACGGCAAAGAATTCAGACAGGGAATACATGCCATGGATATTTCCACTGCTGGAAAAGCCACCTTTGGAGCTGTCCCATGAAAGAAGCCACTTGCCAGCTGTGGTTCTCCCCTGGGTGATTCCCAGGAGCGTAGCAGGACAGATTTGAATGGATGCAACGTGCAGGTTTTCTGTGGCAAACATGGATTGAATTTCCATCAAACACTAAGCAGGAGACCCACAGAGTGTGTCTCCCACTAGTTTTCATGGAACAAGTAGGAATTGATTATCTCAGAGCCCTAAACTGGACAGAAATTGGTCCATAGTGCAAGTGTTATAAAGTCCACTCCAGTGTCCACGTGCTTTTCCAGCCTTACCTGCACTCCAGCTTCTTTGCAGGCCTCAATGACTGCTTTGGTTCCCATAAAATTCACCTTGTAAAACAGTTCCCTGTTGTCACTGGAAGGTGCTGGGGATGCACAGTGAAAGGCCACGGACACACCTTGCAAAGCTGGGAGCAGAGCCTGGGAGATCCAACATGGGAGACGGGAATGAAGCAACAGCCACAGTGCAGGAAAAAAAAAACATAATAGGAAGGAAATAAAAGACAGTTTTGTCATGGAAACACTCTGTGAAATTTCGGTCATGTTCCCTCCATAAAGGTGGGCAGCTGGAGTGGGATTTGCATCCAGGATTTTCCCAGTGCCCTCTCCTCTTGCTGGGCAAACACACTCTACATCATCCCTTCTTTCCAGAGAAGAACCTGGGGACTCCTCCAGAGCTGGAGGCTCTTTAAGCTGAACTACTTGGACTATCATAAGTAGGTAGGAGACTCAGAATTCCCTGGAGCCAGGAGTTGGGACACTCAGGAAGGAGCAGTTTCCCAGTTCCCCAGGGCCCTGTTGGAGGTGACTGTCCCAAAGCCCTGAGCTGTGGTGTTCAGGCAGATGGGGAGGTGTCTCTCACCTGGCTCACCCTGAGGAGGCCTCAGCCTGCCCTGACTGTTGGGAATAACGAGTTGTGCCGTTCTCATGGAGCTGAGGAGAGCTGGGAGAGCCCCCCTGCAATTAGCACAGGGGCTGTAATTACACTGAGTGTCTAAACCAACAGTGATGCAAAGCTTCAGACAGAAACTAGGTCTGTTTTTTGCAGCTCCAAGAGACACCAGGGCTGTTCCTTTGAGATGATTCCATGGAGAAGTGCTGAGGCTTCACCCCAGGGAAAGGTTGGGGGGCACATCTGCAACCCCTTTTCCAACCTGTGCAGGGCCTCCAGGTGTGTCAGGGCTTTGGGAAAGGATCAGCATTGGAACCAACACCCATTTAACCAGACATCCTTTCCCAGAATGGGTCAGGCTGGGAGGAACCACAGTGGGTCATCTGGTGCCACCTCCCTGCTCCAGCAGGGCCATCCCAGAGCACATGGATTGCGTCCAGATGGGTCTGGAATAACCCCAGTGAGGGAGACTCCACACCCTCTCTGGTCTCTGCTCAGGGCTGGGTCACTGCACAGCAAAGAGGTTCTTCCTCAGATCCAGGAGGAACTTCCTGGGCATCAGTTCCTGCCCGTTCCTCCTGTGCCATTGCTGGGCCCCCCCGAGCAGAGCCTGGGCCATCCTCTGCCCCCTCCCTGCAGCCCCTGACACCCCCTGGGGAGGGCCCCTCTCAGGCTCTGCTCTGGAGGCTGAACAGCCCCAGCTCCCTCAGCCTTTGCTGCTCCCAGAGCTGCTCCATCCCTTGGGCATCTCTGCAGGAGAGTCACGTTCCAGGAGCTCCCTGGCCCTGCTGTGCTGAGGAGCCCGAGCTGGGCCCAGCCCTGCAGATGTGCCTGCCCAGGGCTGGGCAGAGGGGCAGGATCACCTTCCTCAACCAGCGCTCTTCCAAATGCCCCCCAGGATCCCACTGGCCTCCTGTCCCCCCGGGCTCACTGCTGGCTCAGGGACCCTCAGGGCCCTCTCCCAGAGCTGCTCTCCAGCAGGTCCCTCCCAGCCTGTGCTGGTGCCCGGGGTTGTTCCTCCTCCCCATTGCTGAATTCCAGACAGTTCTTCCCTGCCCATCTCCCCAAGCTTCTCCCAGTCCTCTGAGGGATCAGCCCCTCCTGCACTGACCCCGCTGGGGAGCCACCACCCCTTCCCCCAGCCACTGATGAAGTGAATCAACCCTTGGCCCAGCACTGAGCCCTGGGGTCACCCCCAGTGCCAGGCTGTCCCTGTGGGTCTGTACCTCCTTGTCACAGAGGTCTCCCAGGAAGAACTTCACTCTGTCGCTCTCGAAGCTCTGCTGGATGTCGAAGACGTTGACGGAGTAACCCCTGTCCAGGAGCTGCTCCACCATGTGCTGCCCCAGGAACCCCGAGCCCCCGATCACAGTGCACCTCCTGCCAGCCTGCAGAGAGAGAGGGAGGGGAGGAAAACCCCCTTAACGACCACACACACCCCAAGAAAACCCACCCGAACTTCCCAGGATCTTAACGCGCTGGAATTCCGCAGCTCGACCGGAGGAGTCAAAATTCAGGCACCCAGAGACTCCTCCCCAGGTCGGTGTCATCACAGTGACTCAGGAGCTCAGACACACCGGCTGGATTTGGGGAGGGCTTTGCCTCACACCCCTAACCAAGAGGCCCAAAAGGACAGAAGGGAAAGAGGATTTGCTCCCACAAACCCTGCCCGGATGGCAAAGCCAACAGAGTTCAAAGGGAGCCAACAAAAAGGTGGAGAGACACGTTTCCAGATGTTTTATGATGTGCTGTGGCCCAGTTGAGGTCCCTGAGCTCTCCTAGGTTGTTGTTCCCTCATTCTGTGATCCCTGCATTAAATACAAAAGGCTGGGATATGGAAAAAGTACCATTTTCCCCAGCTCAGAGAGGTTTTTGGGCCATAACTCTCAGGAGCACAATTGATTGAGCTGTTCTGTCGCTTTACCTGAGGTTCTTAGTTATGAATTTCTGCCTTTTGAGGCATTTTCTCACTAATTCATAGGAAGTTGATGCAAGACCAGGGAATCTGGGATATTTAGGAAGCAAACAACCAAAAAAGCCACTTGGAAAGAGTGTGAGCAAACTGTTGTGTCTCCACAGCCCTGCTGGGGTAAAATTCATAGCCTAAAAATCAATGTATTCATGGGTAGCTTGGCTTGCTACAGACTTTATACTGTGCAATATCAAATTAGAAAGAGTTTATATATAAATTATATATAAAATTACATTTAATTGCGGCTGCCCCATCCCCAGGAGTGTCCAAGGCCAGGTTGGACAGGGCTTGGAACAACCTGGGATAGTGGAAGATGTCCCTGGCTGGAACTGGATGGGCTTTAAGGTCCCTCCCAACCCAAACCAGGCTGGGATTTTATGATGATTCTATGATTTCCTTCAGCCCCAGAGCACAGATGAATCAGACTATTCAAACTGAATATTTTTGTATCAGAGCCTGTGACAATCAAACTCCTCCAAGCCAAGAAAGCACCCAGGTACAGGCAAGGATTGCCCTTTGGAGTCATTAGTTCTTCCTTTATTGTTTTAAGCCTCTTAAATCAATGGTCACAGGCACTAATTAACAGATTCCTGTCTGCTCACTCTGTAATTGGAGTGAGACCAAAGACCTCCCCAGCACAGAACATCCAAACCCCGAGTCTGAGGAAGCTTTTGGACAAAGAATGTTCTGTCCTGCTTGGAAACACATTTACTCCTTATTGTTGCTGCACAACTGCAGAGGTGGTGGTTTATCTATGGAGCTGGAGGGAATTTTAACCCCTTGGAACCACACAAAGACAAGGATTGTTCAGAAGTTTCTAAGTGTCACATCCTTAAAGAAAGGTTCTGCTGCAGAGAGATTCCAGGAGTTTCCCCAGTTACATCAAAGCAGAACCAGTTATTTAGGATGGGACATGTAAAGCAGGGTCTGATTAGGGTCTGGAGCATAAATCCTATGAGGAGGAGCTGGGGGGGCTCAGCCTGGAGAAAAGGAGGCTCAGGGGGGACCTTCTGGCTCTGCAACTCCCTGACAGGAGGGGGGAGCCGGGGGGTGGGGGGGTTGGGCTCTGCTCCCAGGGAACAAGGGACAGGGGAGAGGGAACGGCCTCCAGCTGTGCCAGGGGAGGGTCAGGATGGATTTGGGGAAAATTTCATCATGGAAAGGGTTGTCCAGCCCTGGCACAGCTGCCCAGGGCAGGGGTGGAGTCCCCATCCCTGGAAGTGTTCAGATGGAACATTTTTAGTGGTGACCGTGGCAGGATTTGGTCAAAGAAGGGACAGAAGCTGTTTCAGCTCCTCCTCAAAAGGCAGCAGCTCCATCCCATCATTATTTTTCATTGCCTTCCCCCGTATCCTTTCTCATCAAGGTCCCTTCCACCACAAACCCTTCTGGGATTCCACGATCCCAGTGTGTTCTTCCCAAAAACTGCCCCGAGCTGTGTGCCCCAAAGCTTTCCTGCAGCACAATGCTGCCCTCTGCCTCTGCACCTCAGAGCCACTGCAGAGGGTTCAAATCATCTCCAGAGCACGTTTAGGAATCATAAAACCCCAGAAGGGTTTGGGTTGGGAGGGACCTTAAAGCTCATCCAGTTCCACCCCCTGCCATGGGCAGGGACACCTTCCACTAGCCCAGGTTGTTCCAACCTGGCCTTGGACACTCCCAGGGATGGGGCAGCCACAATTAAATGTAATTTTATATATAAACTCTCTCTAATTTGATATTGCACAGTATAAGGTGTGTAGCAAGCCAAGCTACCCATGAATACATTGATTTTTAGGGTATGAATTCTACCCCAGCAGGGCTGTGGAGACACAACAGTTTGCTCACACTCTTTCCAAGTGGCTTTTTCAGTTGTTTGCTTCCTAAATATCCCAGATTCCCTGGTCTTGCATCAACTTCCTATGAATTAGTGAGAAAATGCCTCAAAAGGTAGAAATTCATAACTAAGAACCTCAGGTAAAGCAACAGAACAGCCCAATAAATTGTTAATAAGAATAACTATAATGCTATAATTATTATATTATAGAATATAATTATACAAATTATATAATAATTATATTAGTTATAACTATAATAATTAATAATTATCATTGTTAATAATAATAAATAACTCCTGACAGTTATGTCCCAAATCCTCTCTGTGTTAAGCAAAATGGTACTTTTTCCATATCCCAACCTTTTTGTTTAATGTAGGGATCACAAAATGAGGGAACAACAGTCTAGGAGAGCTCAGGGACCTCAACTGGGCCATAAAACATCTGGGAATGATCCTGGAGGAACTCAGTCTCCAGCACTGACAAAACCACTGGTGTTCTTGGGGGGGTTGGAGCATTTCTGGATCTTTTTGGAACCAACAGCAGCAAATTATTCTTTGGAAAACCCCATTTCCCCCCCCCAGAATTATCCCTAATGCGGGATCAGCCTCAGGATGTTCAGGAGTGTCCACAAGAAGGTGTTTTTGCAGGACAAATCTTCTTAAAGACCCTTTTGGGTGCTCAACTCACCGATCTGAGGCGTGTGGCCATGGCTCAGGTGAGGCCTGTCCACCAGATTCCTGCAAAAAAGGAGGATATTTTCTTCTTCACAATAAAATCCCACGTTTCTGGTTCCAGAAATCCAGGTTTGAACCTGTTATGCTGAAGAAAGATGAAAAAAGAGAGTTCATTCTCCTTGTTCTGCTAAAAAAAAAAAAATAAGCCAATGGATGTGCTGGAGACAGACTTTCCCCACATCCCCCTGGACCTTCCCAAGTGCCCCCAGGACCTTTCCCACATTTCCAGGACCCTTCCCCATGGCCTCCAGGATCCTCCCAGTGCCCCCAGGACCTTTCCAAAAACAGCAGGACCTTCCCCAGTGCCCTTTCCACAATCCCCAGGACCTTCCCCACATCCTCCAGGATCCTCCCCACGGCCTGCAGAACCTTCCCACCGCCCTCAGGACCTTCCCCAAAGCCCCCCAAGACCTCCCCACAAACCCTCAGGGCCCTCCCAACATCCCCCAGGATCTTTCCAAAAACACCAGGACCTTCCTCACGTCCCCCAGGACCATCCCCACGACCTTTCCACTGCTTCAGGACCTTTCCAAGAACACCAAGACCTTGCCCATGGCCTCCAGGACCCTCCACACATCCCCCAGGATGTCTCCCAGTCCCGCCCCCGACCCTGCCCATGACCCCCAGGACATTCCCCACAGCCCCCAGGACCTTCCCATAACCCTGTGTCCTTCTACAGCCCCCAGGACCCTCCCCATTGTCCTCCAGGACCTTCCCCAGGGCCTCCAGCTCCTTTCCCAGTGCCCTCATGTCCTTTCCATGGCCCCCACTCCCTCTCCACAGTCCCCAGGACTGTTCCCAGTGCTCCCAGGACTCTCCCACAGCCTTCAGGACCCTCCCTACGGCCCCCATGTCCTCCCCACAGACCCCCAGACCTTCCTCACATCCCCCAGGACCTCCCTCACTCCTCCCCCAACCTTCCCCACGGCCCCCATGTCCTTCCCCACGGCCCTGAGGACCTTTCCACTGCTCCCATCACCTTCCTACAGCCCCCAGGACCTTCCGTGCAGCCCCCAGGCCCTTCCCCACATCGCCCAGGACCCTCCCCATGTCCTCCAGGACCTTCCCCATGCCCCCCAGGACCTTCATACTAATTCCAGGACCTTCCCCAAAGGCCCCAAGGCCTTCCCACATCGCCCAGGACCCTCCTCATGTCATCCAGGACCTTCCCCGTATCCCCCAAGACTTTCTCCGCACCCCCCAGGACCTTCCCCATAGCCCCCACGACCCTCCCCACGGCCCCCATGTCCTTTCCCATGGCCCTCAGGACATTTACACTGCTCCCATCACCCTCCTATGGCCCCCAGGACCTTTCCCACATCCCCCCGGACCTTCCTCACAACCCCCAGGAGCCTCCCCACGTGCTTTCCCACGGCCCCCAGGACGCTCCCCACTGCCCCCATCCCCTTCCCGCAGCTCCCCCCGTCCTTTCCACTTTCCCACGCCCTCCCCGCAGCCCCCAGACCCATTCCCAGTGCTCCCAGACCCATTCCCAGTGCTCCCAGTCCCTCCCAGTGCCGCCCCCTCCCCTCTCACCGCCGCCACCGCCGCTCCCAGCGCGCCCCGGCCCCGCCCCCCGCCTGCCCTCCACCAATCAGCACCGCCCCTCCCTTCAGACCCCGCCCACTCCCCTAACCCCGCCCCTCCCCCTGGGCCGAGCATCGCGCCAGCCCGCTCCCGCGCGCCGATTGGTCCGCCCCCTCCTCCCTCCGGCCAATCGCGCTGAGAGCAGGAGGACCCTTTTCCCACGCGCTCATTCACCTCCCTTGGCTCCGCCCCGGCCGCGGCCAATTGGAGCGCGCGTTGCCGTGGCAACGGCGTGGGGGGCGGCAGCCAATGGAAGGGCGCGGCATTGAGGCCGCCGGGAGTGAAGGCGGCAGGATGGTCAGTGGGGGGGTGTGAGGGAGGGGAGGGACCTCAGGGGGCCCTGAGGGGCTTTGAGGGAGCCCTGGAAGACCTGAGGGTGTCGTGAGGGGCTGTGAGGGACCTGAGGGGGCCGTGAGGGGCTCAGGGACCCTTGAGGGGCTCAGGGGCCCTTCAGGGACCTGAGGGGGCCGTGAGGGACCTGAGAGGGCTGTAAGATGGGCTGAGGGAACTGTGAGGGGGCTGAGGGGCCGTGGGGGGACTGTGTTATAAAGGGCTGCTTGGCGAGGCTTTCTGTCTGGATTGGTGTTAGTAAGGGACATCGCTCCTGGATCCCTCCTGTAGCACTGCTGGATAATGATAGCAACTGTACGGAAACACTGCCAGGATGCTCCTGGACTGGGAGAGGACAGGGGGCATGGAGTCCCACAGCCTTGGCTTAAGTCACAGCATCACAGAATCAAAGCCATCCCTCGTAGGAGACATATTTTGGGTGGCAGATTGTCCCCCTTGGAATGTCTTCTCCCAGATAACACACTACCTATGTGTGGAATCATTAAATGTTTTGGGTTGGAAGGGACCTTAAAGCTCATCCACTCCCACCCCCTGCCACGGGCAGGGACACCTCCCACTAACCCAGGTTGCTCCAAGCCCCATCCAGCCTGGCCTTGGACACTTCCAGGGATGAGGCAGCCACAGCTTCTCTGTGACCCGAAGGGGCTGTGAGGGACTGTGAGGGGCTGAGGGGGCCATGATGGGGCTGTGACGGACCTGGGGAGGGCATGAGGGGTCTGAGAGGGCTGTAAGGGGACCGTGAGGGGCTGAGGGGGCTGTGAGGGGACCTGAGGAGTCCATGAGAGACGTGAGGGAGCTGTGAGGGACCTGAGGGGACTGAGGGAGTTGTGAGGGACTTGAGGGGGCCTTGAGGAGGCCGTGATGGATCTGAGGGGGCCATGAGGGACTGAGGGGGCTGTGACAGATATGAGGGGACCATGAGGGATCTGAGGGGGCCATGAGGGGCTTGAGGGGGCCGTGAGGAACTGAGGGGGCTTTGAGGGATCTGAGGGGACCATGAGGGGTCTGAGGGGGCTGTGAGGGACTTTGAGGGACTGTGAGGGACCTGAGGGAGCCGTGACGGACCTGAGGGGACTGAGGGAGTCGTGACGGGCTGAGGGGACTGTGAGGAATCTGAGGGGACTGTGAGGGACCTGACGGGGCTGTAAGGGGACCTCAGGGGTCCATGAAGAATGTGAGAGAGCCATGAAGGACCTGAGGGGACTGAGGGAGCCGTGAGGCGCTGAGGGGGCTGTAAGGGGCCCTGAGCCCCCCAGCCCCCTGCCCTGACCCCCCGTGCTGTCCCAAGGCCTGCAGTTTTAAGAAGCCGGCGCTGGGCTCCGCTCCCCAGAGGAAGAAGGCGAGTCCCAAAGCAGAGCTGTCCCAGGAGCAGCAGCAGGAGATCCGCGAGGCCTTCGAGCTCTTCCACACCGACGGCAGCGACAGCATCGATGTCAAGGAGCTCAAGGTGCGGCTGGAAGCACAGGACTACCGGTATTAGAAACCAAAATCACCTCCAACAGCACACAACTTCCCTGCTTTCCCCCTCCTCTCCCCAGCATAAAAACCGGCTTGGTAAAAAGGCACATTATGGCAGCTCTTTCCTGCTGTTCTCGGGTGTGTTTGGGGCCAGGCTGCCCAAAATTCATGGAGAGCTCTGAGGTTTTTGTCCTGACTCCTTCTCTGCCAGTAAAACATCAAAAAAAGGGTTTGTGCACATTATAAAGGTGTTTTTCCCCTCTTATCTTGCTGAGGATTTCATGCTTCTCTTCCTTCTCCTTCTTCTCCTCCTTCCCCTCCTCCTTCTCCTCCTTCTACTCCTTCTCCTTTCTCTTCTGTCAAAAAAAGGGTTTGTGCACAATTCAAAGGTGTTTTTCCCTCTTTTTGAGGATTTCATCCTTATTAATATTATTGTTATTATTAAAACCTCAAAAGAGGGTTTGTGCACTTTTAAAAGGTGTTTTTCCCTCTTGTTGAGGATTTCACTTTATTTGTTTCTTAAATTATCCCAGCTGAGGAATCCACCAATGTCATTCATTTTCCTGCTTTTATTCACAAACCCCTTTTGGTCCCACCCCACTCTTTTGGGAAGAAGAGTCATCAATAAATCAGGACTTATTTTGCTTCCAGGAGTTGTCTCTCTCATTTCCTACCTGGATTTCAATGTTCCTTTAGACCACAGGGAGCAGATCTGGTTTCAAACCTGCCTCTTGTCTCTTTATCAGAGGAAGGAAATGTTCCCCCAACAGTCATTGAAAGAGATTTTTATCGCTGGAGTGAAAAATGAACTGATTATACAACCAAAATAGGGGAGTTAAGAGCAGCAAATAATGCAAATTTTCTCGGTGCAAACATTCCTCCCAAGACTCTGATATGGCCAAATCCCAAATCCCTCCCTGTCCTGAGCTGGGGCAAAAGTGTGTCTAGGAAATTCCTGAATTAACTGAAGGACAATTCCGGAATAGGAATGTTTATATCCCTGTTTTCTGCATCCTGATGTGCCCCTGTTTTCCTTCAGACACGGAATGTTGTAACATGATGTGGCAGAAGTTCACCTGTTTTTTATTCCCTCCCCTGTGGCTTTGTTGATAATTTTGTAGGGTTTGTAACTGATTTTGTAGGATTTATGACTGATTTTGTCCTTCCAGGTGGCCATGAGGGCCCTGGGCTTTGAACCTAAAAAAGAAGAGATCAAGAAAATGATCTCAGACATCGACAAGGAAGGGACGGGGAAGATCAGCTTCGATGACTTCTTGGCAGTGATGACCCAGAAAATGGTATGGAAGTAGTAAAAATCAAATTAAAGGCAGTTTTAATGTGTGATTCATCTCCTTTTGGGTTTAGGGGGAGATTAAAGCACTATTTAATCTTAACTAAATATATAAAAGTTGGATTCTGTCTTGTTTTTCAAGGAAAAACGTCTTGGATTCTGTCTCATTTTTCAAGGAAAGGTTGAAATAACAGTATCATTCCCAACTTCCTTTAACAATCAGGGGGGTTTTTTTGAGTGTGAGAAAAGGGAAAACCTGCTTTTCTCCCAGAAAAATCCAGGCTTTTCTCCCAGATCCAACGCAGCTCTGGAGCTGTTGGAGTGTTTTTCTGTGACGTGGGGATATTTTCTCTACTTGAGTTCTAATTTACTTACAGATTAAATCTCTGGTTTTAAAAATCTTCAAATATGTTGAGTAAAACTGAGATCCTCATGGTGAAATCCCAAAGACATCTGGCTGGCTAGAACAGAGAAAAAATTCCCTGGAATTCTGGCCGTGTCTCTGTCTCCCTTCAGCCTTTATGTGTAATTCCTGCTGACTGGACTCCTTTAAATTTACTCTTAAGGGTTTCTCAGTCTGTCAAATCTTTTATAACTTTATTTGGAGTGTTCCCTCCAACACAACCTCCCCCTTATTTTTCCCTTCAAACTTCCTTCTTCCTCCTTTTTTAAGGCTGAAAAAGACTCCAAAGAGGAAATTCTCAAGGCCTTCAAACTCTTCGACGACAACGAAACCGGCAAAATCTCCTTCCAAAACCTCAAACGTGTGGCCAAAGAACTGGGGGAAAACCTCACAGATGAGGAGCTGCAGGTTTGTACCTGGGGGGGGTGGGATCTTTGTGCAGGAGCTGTAGGAAAATCCCCTTTTTCCCGGTAGGAACACAAGAGTTTGTGTCCAGCAGTGGATTTTGAGGTTGAGCCCACACGGCTCAAATGGCAGCAGTAGAATTGCAGCTTTGTGAGAGCGATGGAAAGGGAATAACTCTGCTCCAAGCACTTTGTCTCTCCTAGGAAATTTCCTGTCGTATTTTCGAGACAGATTTCTGCATAAATATATGTAGAAAAACAAATTCATGTCTAGTCGAGGAAATACTTTGTCACGGAGTAAGTCTGACATTGAGGAAACACTGTCCCCTCCCGTTTTAGTACAACTTACCAAAAACTGGTTCTAATCCTGCTGAATCCAATCATTCCAATCCACATCTGATTCCTGCTCACCAATCTCTTCCAGGAGATGATCGATGAGGCAGACAGAGATGGGGATGGGGAAGTGGATGAGCAGGAATTCCTGCGGATCATGAAGAAGACCAGCCTGTACTGAAGCACAGTTGGATTTATTCCTTTGCACACATTGTGTGGATGCCTCATTTTTTCCCCAGTCTTTTCTTTCTTTTGACTCAGCACAAAAACAAAAGGCCAGTTTTGTTCCAAGTGGATGGTTTAGAGGTGTTTGTGAGCAGTTCCCCACCCTGTTTACATGCTGGTTGCTGCTTTGTGCTTGGGAGATGTTTACGCTGCTTTCAGTGCACAAATCACCTTTTTGGGGCAGGATTCAGATCCTTTTCTGACCAAAAAAAAAAAATCTATCAAACCATTCTAGTTTGGTAAAGAGAGAACTCAAAAGAAGCCAGGGTCAATCTCTGTTCCCCAGCAGCTGGGAGTTTGGGCCCAGTGAACACTTTATATTTGCAGGGATCAGCTTTTTATAATGTGTTTTATGGGGATCATCTCCTCCCCCCTTTTTAGGATGTTCTTTAAACTCAAAACAAAGTAAATAAATTGCTGCAATTTCACTTGTGTTCAGTCCACGTGGTCAAAGAACTCCCTTTGCCAAAGGAGAAGTTCCAGAGCTGAGAGCTCCCTGTGTTTGCAGGAATGTTCAGTGGCTGCAAATGTGATTGTGTTTAAAGTGTCTTATTTTCAGTTGTGCAAAGAGTTTTGATCCCCACTCTGCAAAAAAAACGATGTGGAGAAGGTGATCCAGGTCCTGGGAGGGAAACCTGAGACAACTGGGCTTGTTCAGCCTTGGGAAAATGAGGTTTAGGGACAACTTATCACTATGCTCTGGTATTTAAAGGGGGGATACAAAGGAGATGGAAACTCTCTTTGCACAAGGGGTCCATGGAAAAGATGGGGGTAATGGGTACAGGTTATTCCTGGGGAGATTCCCAGTGGATACAAGGACAATTTTCACAATGAGAACAATCAACCATGGGAATAATCTGCCCAGGAAAGTGCTGGATGGCCCAGCTTTGGAGAGTTTTAAGATCCAGCTGGGCAGGCGGCTGGGCCAGCTCAGCCTTGAGGTCCTGCCAACCTGCAATTCTCTGGTTCTGTTTATCCCAGAGAAGAATTCCCCCTCTTCCCACCAGACCTGGACACTGATACTGAATTGGATTTTTTCCTGTATGGTTTTTCCCCTCCCTGGCCCACCAGTGGCACTGAGAGCACATCCTGATCCAGAGGGAAAGGAGAACCAGCAGCAGAGTTCAGCCTATGGAAAACCAGCATGTTTTATTTGGGAGCAGAACCATGTTCCTTCCTTTTGCCACAACTCACCTGTTCTGGGAGCTGGGGGTTGGGGGGACTGAACTGGAGCCCTGGGGAAACCTGGCATGGCCTTAAGCTGGAGGAGGGCAGGGTTAGATGGGATATTGGGAAGGAATTCTTCCCTGTGAGGGTGGGGAGGCCCTGGCACAGGTTGCCCAGAGAAGCTGTGGCTGCCCCATCCCTGGAAGTGTCCAAGGCCAGCTTGGAGCAGCCTGGGACAGTGGAAGGCGTCTCTGCCCATGGATGAGGTGGGCTTTGAGGTCCCTCCCAACCCAAACCATTCCATGACTCTGTGCCAGCTCAGTGTGTGCCCACACCCCCATTGCTGCCAGTTTGCCGTGGCAGAACACTACAACTCCAGGCTGTCCCTCCTCACAGCCACCAGTGGTGTGGGAAAGGGCGTGGAGGGGGCAGAACTCCAGTTGGGTGACACTTTTCCTGATGACATGTAAGAGGGGAAGGAGCTGGACTTTGTGGCCTTCAGGCAAGCCTGACCACTTCCTTGACCATGTTCCCGATGCCGTCGTGGATCTCGTGGATGGGGGCGTTGCACATGAAGGCACTGGTGGTCACCAGCCTGTTCCTGGGGTCCACGTGGATCTCGGTGACGTGGCTGTTGACGTGTTTGCAGCCCAGCTCCCGCATGGACTCGGCAGTCTTGGCATAGGGCCACCTGCAAGGGAGGAGGGGATAAACCCACCCTGAGAGGCTGGATGAAGGCTGAGAGAGAAAAGAGATTATGGTCCTTGCTCAAAATCTGCTCAATAGGAGCCAAATCTTCTCCTGCCACAGGAGTTTCTCCGGGCTTACAGAACAGGGAACATCTCCAGATTACAGTTGAGTTAAAAATCTGAAGTAAAGCCAAAATAACCCTTGATGTTCCACTGCTTAACTAACACACTGCTTAACACACTAAGTCTGCCCATGCCAGACTTAGTGTTTATGGAATCCCAAACTGGTTTGGGTTGGGAAAGGGCTTAAAGCCCATCCAGTTCCACCCCCTGCCATGGGCAGGGACACCTCCCACTAGTCCAAGTTGCTCCAAGCCCCGTCCAACCTGGCCTTGGACACTTGCAGGGATGGGGCAGCCACAGCTGCTGCTTTGGGCAACAATTAGGTTTAGGTTTGGGGTTTTTGGGAGGATTCAGCCACAGCTTTCATGTAGGACTGAGGACACTTTAATTCCCTCTCTTAACACTCCAAGGCTTGTGCCACCATCCTGCTCCCACCTTGGATCTGCTTCACTTGGAGTCAGCGCTCTGGTGTCTCTCCTACTTTGGGTCCATGAGGTGCCACGTGCACAGGGGAGGCAAATATAGGACTGTATTTCAAATAAAGTGTCTCAATTTAAGTTTTAGATTAAAAAATTGTCTTATTTCCATCAGAGTTGTGGAAACACAAATATAAAAATGCCAGCAAATCTGGTGAGAGGTCACTCCTTCTGATCTGCTGAGAAATGGTAAAAGTCTTCCAGGTGCTTGAGGCAGGATTTGAGAGATGGCCTGGGAATACAGGACTGGCAATCCATCACTTTATAACTATAAAAGCCCAGTCCAACTGTCACATGGCAGATTCTCCCACAGGCTTTCTTGGAGCATGCGGAGCCTCTCCTGTGGAACGGGGACATCTCTTCATGGTCACTCCCCAGGGTTGGAAGGGAGCTTAAAGCCCATCCAGTTCCACCCCCTGCCCTGGCTGAAAGACCTGCCCATGATCATTGTGTGGTGAGTTACCTCCTTCTCCACTTAATGATTGCTTCTTTTGGAAGAAAAGATTGTTTCTTTTCCTTTGACACAGTGCACCACACTATTTTATGCTATATTTTACTCTGCTAGGATTTTTTAGCTTTTACCCTGTGTAGCAAATAATTCTGATCAAGATCTTCCCTCCTTTGTTTGTCATAATTAATAATTTGTTTTATATAAATATCTCTGATATAAATATCATTAAAATATTGATTTAAATACCATTAAAACCTGCGGGACAACATGATTCAATCACACCTCTATAATTCCTGAAATTTGACATTCTCTGAGGCTGGGCTTGGATCCACCACCCCCAGGTCTCTCTCTGAGGAGGGGGGGGTGGGGTCTTTCTTGGAGCTCAACAAGAGCCTTCCCTAATAAACTTCGAGCCTCCCAGTCACCCCTGAGAGCCCCAGTGGGTCACTCACTTCTCACACTCGGTGTCGTGTCCCACTGTCACCTCACAGCCCGGGAAGAGTTTGGCTGCCAGCACCGGGGAGATGCAGCACAGCCCGATGGGCTTGTGGGCAGCGTGGAAGGCCCTCAGCACGTCCTCCACCTCCCTGCAGACGCTGCAGTTCTTGCCTTGGGTGGCCCAAGTGCTCAGGTTTTTGGCCACTCCAAAGCCACCTGAGAGAAGAGAAGAGAAAGAGAAGGGAGAAGAGGGAAGGGAGAAGAGGGAAGGGAGAAGAGGGAAGGGAGAAGAGGGAAGGGAGAAGAGGAAGGGAGAAGAGGAAGGGAGAAGAGGTTAGGCTGGGAGGTGATATCCCAGCAGGGCTTTTCCCAGGGATTGCAGGATGGAATGCTAATCTGGATGTGGGGGGTGGCAGCACTTGTCCAATGTTGATAAAGGAATTAAAAACAGAGGTCCTGAACCTTTGTGGGCTGAGACACCCAAGCACCTCCCCTGCTTCCACTCCGGTGCTCCAGTGGGTCTGTGCTTCACCCAACAGCTCTTTCCCGAATGCTGGTGGGACACACTGGCACATTTCCCCTCTTAATCCCTGCTCTAGGCCTCATCCATCCCACTGGAATCACACTTGCACTAGAGATAGACTCAGACTGGCCAAGCTTTCTGCCTTTGAGCCCCCCCTCTCTGTCCCAGCCTCTCCTGGGAAGGAGGAAAGGATGGTGGGGAGGGAAGGGATAGTTCTCCATTCAGGGAATGATCTTCTGGATGGCACAGAGGATCATTCAGTTGGCAGGTACCCACACTCTCCTCTTGGGATCAGCTTGGCATTGCCATGCTCTCTTTTGATCCGAGTCCAAGCCATGTCTGTCCTCCCAATCCCTGCTTCCAGTTCCTGTCCAGCCCATGACTCCTGTGTCACTCCAGGCTTACCTAAGCTGTTCCCAAGGCTGTGGACATGCAGGCCCCACACAGGTCCTACCTGGAATGATCAGGGCATCCAGCCCCTTGACATCCAGCTGAGCCAGATCCTTGATGTTCCCTCTGGCTATCCTGGCACTTTCCACCAGCACGTTGCGCTGCTCTGGCGTCGGCTGCCCCTTCACGTGGTCCACCACGTGCATCTGGGAGATGTTGGGAGCAAAAACCTCTGCCTGGGCACAGGAGAAAGGGCTGTTATCCTTCAGGAATGAAGGGGAAACGTGTGGAAGGTCACAGGGAGCGGGTGGAAATGCTGAGGGACTTGGTTAGGAAAGGATTTTGCCGGGGAATGCCGTGACCTTCACCTGGATCTGATACTGGCATCAGGCAGAGGAGGGAAAGGGAGGCCTTTTGTAGCTTCTTCCCAGGGACAAAGCAGGGAGCCCGCATTGCTTGTTTTGGGGGCTGAGGAGCCCTTGGTGAAGCTGTTTGTTGGAGGTTTCCATCCCTATCCCAATGAATCCCCCTCACTGGGGCAGCCCCAGCCCCGTCCCAGCTGCCCCACAGAGCCAGTGGATCCCTGTGGGAGCTGCTGTCCCACCACGTGCCTCCCTCAGAGACAGGACTTGGACTTTCCTCTCCCCACCTACTGTTTTCCCAAAGCCAGAGTGTTTTTCCAGAAAATGCTTCCCCTTCCTCCAGCACTTCCCAGCTCACATGCAGCAATTGAGAGTGGGGGGTGGCAAACAGGTGGGGGAAAGAATTTGGGGCCGAACAACCCGTGCAATTCCAGGCTGCACAGTTTAAGAAGGATGTGAAGGAGCTCGAAGAGGGCAAAGCCGGTGCCAGGGCTGGAAGGAACGTCCCTGGAGGAGCAGCTGAAGACTTTGGGCTTGTCTAGTTTGGGGAAAAGGAGGTCGAGGGGAGACCTCGTGGCTCTCCCCAGCTCCCTGAGGGGGGGACGTAGAGAGGGAAGTGCTGAGCTCTCCTCCCTTCCAACCGAAACATTCGTGTTTCCCGATGAAAGCAGGGATTGAACAACGTCTGAGCTCCCTCCACTAGAGGCCCCCGGAGATCCAGGGATGAGGCAGGACGTGCTCCGAGCCCGCCGGTTCGGGAATGGCAGGAGGGAAGCGACTCGAGGAGAGGAAAAGAGGCAAAATTACACCCTGTGGAGAAAACGCTTGGACAAGTCCCAGCTCTGAGCCGAACGGAGCAGGCACAGGCGGGAGGGTGTGGAATTGGGTTCATGTCCTCAATAGTACATCACCACTGTGCCTCTGTGTCCCACGGAGCCATTCCCATTCCCGGGGGAACAGGTGGCCGGCTCAGAGCTGAGTGCGATATTTTCCACAGGGTCCCTCCCTCCTTTTCCACTCTCACCGTGTGGTTCTCCTGACTAATGGTGTATTAGAGCTGCCTTTTTTTTTTTACCCCTCCTCAAGTTCAACTCACAAGAACTTGTCTATTCTCTCATCAGAGAGGTGGACTCCTCATCCCTGGAAGTGCTCAGGATCGGGCTGGATGGAGCTCTGAGCAACCTGGGATAGCGGAAGGTGTCCCTGCCCATGGCACAGAGAGCAACTGGATGATCTTTAAGGTCCCTCCTAAACCAAACCATCCTGTGATTCTCTGATTCGATTTTCACTTCTAACCTTGGAGGTTTTAAAAAGCTGGATTTCAAAGAGCCCAAACCAACAACAGTCTTTTAAACTGAAACAGCGGAGCAGAAAAGAGGGAATACAAGCCAAAAAAAGAATAGAGAAGGCATTCAGGAAAGTCTGTTCAGGAAAGAGTTTGGAGGCACTGAGCACAGAGATCCAAGCCAAGCCCGTGATACAGCAGAGCTGTGCAGGGAGTTCTCCAGGTTCACTGGAGCGGCTCCCGTGCTCTGCTGTCCCCTCTGACTCCACTCATTCATGATTTGCAAGCCACGGGGAGCTTGTGGTTTGTCTCAGAGACAAGGAGGAGAAGACTGAGGAGCAGAGAGGGGCAAAAAGACCTGGAGCCGGGGCAGGAGCCTCTTACCTGTGCCCCCTCCCTGCTGAGATGCACCAGCACAGCCGAAGCCTCGTGGATCTCGCTCCCATCGTAGACCCCACAGCCAGCCAGCACCACAGCCACCCTCTTACCCATGGAGCACCGGAGCAGGATTCCCTGGAGAGCCC